TACTCATTTACAGCTGAGTAGACTGGAACATGCGGAGTATGTAAATTAACAGCAAGCAATTATTATTTGTAGAATTTCAGCTAAATGTAGATGGATATTAAAATTTGATATATATATAAAGGTATTAAAACTGAGTGCTGCTTCCTTGAAAAGCATGGGCATCAAGCTGGATACCCAGTTACATTTATAGTATTAAATAGGATACAAATGGACATAGCCTAGGCGTTGCTGCCTCTATATATCCACATCAATATAAAGTGAAATACATATTACATAAAATTTTACAGTACAAGCAAATGTCTTTATGCTTACTTTTAGTGAGGCAGTATTGCAACACATTCTGAAATTGTCAAAGACATGCGGGTACATGCATTTTCTATTAACAAATCAAAGCGCAAATTGGTGCACCCAGTTTACTTAAGATATGACCTTCCCGTCCTTTTTGTAGACTCATTGGTTTTCAGGCCATAACTTTTGTTTCTTTTTCATCAAGTTTAATAGGATCTTTTCATATATGTTCCTGCTTGGGGCCTTGAAACGTTGCAGGAAGTCTGCACCTGGTATATGAATGAGCAGGATCCTTATTGATTTTGAGGTCAGAAATTTTAAAGGTCAAGGACACAGTGAGCTGTTGTGCTAAAATTGTTCTTTGACTATTCCATCAATGGCCTTGATACTACTGGTACACTGTAATGTACCTGTGGATAGGGGAGTAACCCTATTTATTTTGAGAACAAAAGGTTAAAGTTCAGAGTCACAGTAACCTTTTCTGTGAAATTCTGTAATGGCTTTCTGAAGTAGAATATCTTTCCACCAAACATTTTGTGGAGTCAAAGGTCAAAGGTCTTGTTCAGTGACTTATTCTGAAAAATCGTTTGTGGACCTAGAGATTTTATTGTCAAAAAGTGAAACCATGTCCACACTCTGAGTAGAGTATTATTTGCCACCAAGGGCATTAAAATTTCACAGAATGCTTAAGCTTCCAAAAAATATGCAGAACCCTGAAGATTTAGGGGTTAAATGTCGAGGCAGAATAAAAAAAAAAATTGTGTTAAAATAATTTCCTGTGGAACATATGTATTAATTAAGCCATATTGTAAACCACTTTGGTTACCAAGGTGCCATGGTGTTAGTAAGCAAGAGACTGTTGTGTAAATGTACATCTAGTTTATATAGCCCTGTTCAGTAGTTAATGGATAGAAAATTTCTGCATGGTATGGTATATATCATAACTGCTAATTATACATCCCACCCCACCACATTGATTAGGGGTCAGGTGGTGTATATGAAAACATTGTATTGAGGGTTGCTTGGGAATGCTCTTTTAATGTTGGTATTTTATTTTTATAGGAGACAGTAAGATGGGTGTGCATGTGTGTCGACATGCCGACGTTCAATTGCGACTGGCGGAGGTATGGGGTCTGGATACCTGTAATATCGTCATCTTCAAGGTAATTTTAAGTCTTAAATACTGTTCGCAAATGTAATGTTATCTTGTCAAGATAACTCTTAAAATACTGCAATAATCTGTTATTCATCATCTTCAGTTTAAAACTCAAATACTGCAGTACTCTTTTCAACATCGTCATCTTCAAGGTAAATTTGAAATATTACATGTTGTCTGAAGCCGTTATGTTGTAACACAAAGTAAGTCTGCAATGCTTGCCTGCAATTTGTAAAAAAAAAACTTTTTTTAGGTGATCCTAGGAAAGTGCAAGGTTCTGAGCACACAAGGGAACACTTCAGAAAATGTGGAGCCCACGCCGAATTTTGACTGTCACATCAGTAAAACTAAGCCTTCCCTCAGTGATTCAGTGTCTATCCAGGCTGCAAGGTCACAGGTAACCACTCACATGAACAGTTACATCAGTTTTAAGCTTCTGCAAAAATGGTTTAGATTTGAAGTGTTGAACTTTTCATTAAATTCTACCGTTCTTTCCTTGATTATAAACGTGACAAAATTTTAGATAATACCAACAATGGATTACAATCTTGTTTTATTATAAAAAAATGTATCAAAAAGTTTATTTGAAAGGGGGAGTCGAGACATTTTGTTTGTTTCCACAAAATTGTTTAGAAATTATTCTCTGAAAAAAATTGTGCAGTTACCTCCCTTTACAGTGTAAATTGCCATTTAAAGTAAAAAGTTTAGATTCAGTGTTTGGTTTTTTTCGAAATTTCTTTTCACTTATAAAACTTATCATTTTAATGCTAATATATAGTTGTACTGATAGGAATGGACAAAATAAATGATGGATTATGAATATGGTGTGAAAAAATCGCAAAAATTACATTATCTGAAGTATTTGTATGACCACATAAAGAGGAGATTTATGCTGCGTTTTTCTTGAAAAACAATTTGAAATAAATATCTCCATTACAGATATACTTGTACGAGTACAATGAGGACTGTGAAACTGTGGAGAGGCCTCGACACTGTATCCCCCATGCCATCGTGTCGTACAATAGGAAGTCCTCCAGGACCGTGGACACCAAAGCCAAGGGTTACACGTCGGAGAAATCCTCCGGGTACAGCAGAACTGTCAACAGGTCTGCTGATAACTCCAGATCCAGTAGACCCACTGCACGTCAGCTTCTACAGTCTGATGTACACGTGTCCCCAGCTGCTGCGACATTGGCAAGACAGCCATCATGGCCAGCAAGAATCGTGACAGAGGGAGAGGGTCAGTC